GTGTGGAAGAGATATCCTATTTACAGCTGAGCATTTTGTGGATTTTGTTAATCACCATCTATTTCCTTAACAACTTTTTTTTTTTTTTTTTTGGTTTTTCGAGACAGGGTTTCTCTGTGTAGTTTTGTAGTTTTGGTGCCTGTCCTGGATCTCGCTCTGTAGACCAGGATGGCCTCGAACTCACAGAGATCTGCCAGATCTGCCTGGCTCTGACTCCCAAGTGCTGGGATTAAAGGTGTGCACCACCAACACCCAGCCTCCTTAACTTCTTTTCTAGGTAAACATCTCATATTCCCTTATACACTACATGTACATATGCACACGTGCATACACACACACACACACACACACACACACACACACACACACACACTGTATTCAGATATGGTTATGAGCCCTATGCGTTGATTTTTTTGAGACCAACCAATCAAACATAAAAGAATAAACAGCATCACCAACAAAAGCCCACGTACAGAAGCCTGAAAAAGTATGTATAGTAGGCTTTGGGAAGCAGCTTTGTTTTTGGTGCAGAAATTTGTGTCATCAACCCGAGCCCTCAGTTCTTCTTCAATGTGGTTTTTTACTACACTCTTCTTCCCTTTATGGTTTATTTTGCAAATATTGCGCCAAAACTTGACTACCACGGTTCAAGAACTAAATACACACAAACTCCTTGGCTCGAGTATGACACGTGAGATCCTGAAGAGCACTGGCTGCTTTCATGGTACAGCCTTTGACTTGTGTTTGAATTTTAAGGGAAGAACGAGAATTTTTTTTGTTTTGTTTTTGTTTTTTGTTTTTTTCGAGACAGGGTTTCTCTGTGTAGTTTTGCGCCTTTCCTGGGACTCACTTGGTAGCCCAGGCTGGCCTCGAACTCACAGAGATCTGCCTGGCTCTGCCTCCCGAGTGCTGGGATTAAAGGCGTGCGCCACCACCGCCCGGCCGAGAATTTTTTTTTGTACTGACACTCCCACCAACAACTTATGAAGTGAGCATTACAACTTGGGAAATTTTTCTTATAACGTTCCTTCCTTTGAGTTACATTGATGGGTAGAAATTTCTACTCATTTACCTTGTGTCTATTCTTTTGGCTAACCAAGATAGCAAAGAATTCCACAGCAGATTTATTGATGGCCAGAATGAACACCTGAAATCATTCATTCCCAGTCGCCAATTACCCAGGTCCCTTTGCCCTCTGACCTGCAGGGCTACACAGGTCTGCCACCCTCCTGTATTTCTGCGACTCTCTTGAAGGCTGGCTATGGCCTTGACTCCACTTGCTTACTTGGGTACTGCTTTCTATAGGATTATAGGAATATTTGGATTTTTAATTCTTTTCCCCTTTCCTATCATCTTTTCTTGGATGTTACCCTAGCTGAGAAATTGATGCCAGACCTCTTGAGTCTTCACATTCTTGTAAGAGCCATCTGTATTTGGTCACGTCCTTATGGGTACAGTCCTATTTTTCCATACCCTCCTTGGTATGGATTAGCTAGCAGCTAGTCAATGTCAGTTTTGAACATGTTCTTAGACATACTTGAAAGACCACAGTGGATATTCTATAAATCTAATAATCTTCTAGGTCTCCCAAGTATGGTCATGTCCTAACCTTAGCACCTGGAGTTGTTTGACTTAGTAAGGTATTTTAAAAGGTTAACCTAGGGAGAGTTGATCTCATCACAGTCTTAAGAACTGAAGACTTGGGCTGGAGAGATGGCTCAGTGGTTAAGAACACTGGCTCTTCTTCCAGAAGACCTGAGTTCAATTCCCAGCACCCACATGGCAGCTCACAGCTGTCTGTAACTCCAGTTCCAGGGGATCTGATACTTTCACACCAATGCACATAAAATAAAGTTAAATAAATTATATAAAAAAAAAGAACTGAAAACTTTTCCAACCGTTGGCCAAAAGAAGAGATGTAAAGAGAGAAGAAGGGTCTGAGTGATGCCATGCCATGTTTCCGACCATACTCCAAAGATTGCAGGTTGCCTCTGGAAAGTAGAAAAGGCAAGAAATGGATTCTCTCCTGAAGTCTGCAGAAAGAAACACAGCTTTGAGGACATTTTGGCTTTAGCCAAGCAAGTTCATGTTGCTTCTGACAACAGAATTACCAAATGATAGATAACTCGTACTATAGTGGTATTCATATTCTTTTTTGTTAAGATACACTTATTCCTAAGTAAATTTTCATTTTTAAAAGAAAAATTTACGCATAGGAGAAAGTTTTGAAGGAAAGATTGCCAATAAAAATGAAGAACTTTAATTAATACTGATTTTAATTGATGAAGTAAATATTAAGTTACTAAGTGTCATAAGTTTGAAAAGACACTAGAGTTATTTATTATACCAAGACCATTTTACCTGGCACAAAAGCTGTAAGTTTTATTTATTTTTAGTTTTGCACTAACATGCTTTTCTAGAACCACACCCGACACTTCCCAGCACCACTAGCCTGCACATGCCTGCTAAAAATTTCCCCATAAACAGGCTGGATGTTTGACTGAGTTGGTCCCATGACATACAGATGCTTCCTCAGTGAAACTTTGGATCAAGGAAGATGAATTTTTCTTATGGAAAAAATAGTGAAATAATGAGTTAACTCTACCATTGAAAAACAAAATTCAGCCGGGCAGTTGTGGCGCACGCCTTTAATCCCAGTACTTGGGAGGCAGAGGCAGGCGGATCTCTGTGAGTTTGAGGCCAGCCTGGTCAACAGAGTGAGTTCTAGGACAGTCAGAGATGTTACACAGAGAAACCCTGTCTCACCGCCCCCCAATTAAATAATAAATAAAATAAAAATTTTCATGGTGACACTGTCTTAGGGTTTCCATTGCTGTGAGGACACCATGATCACAGCAACTATTTTTTAATTTCTTTTTATTTATTCTTTTTTTTTTTGTTTTTGTTTTTGTTTTTGTTTTGTTTTGTTTTTTTTTTTTGGTTTTTCGAGACAGGGTTTCTCTGTGTAGCTTTGCGCCTTTCCTGGAACTCGCTTTGGAGACCAGGCTGGCCTCGAACTCACAGAGATCCGCCTGGCTCTGCCTCCCGAGTGCTGGGATTAAAGGCGTGCGCCACCACCGCCCGGCTATTTGTTCTTTTTATATATTTATTCTTTTACATCATGTATCTTGATCCCTTCCATCTTCCCATCTGCCTGCCCCCCCCCCACACACACACAAAATAAAACAACATTTAAGAGGAAAAAATAAAATATCTCGTCATGGAAGCTGCAGTGTGACACAGTGAGTCACAAAGGAAAGCCCTTTGTCCGTACAGCTTTACTTGCAAGTGTTCGTTGCAAAGAGTCATTGGTCTGGTGCGAGGCCTCTGGTTTCTGCTACACTATCAGTGCTGGGTCCTCACTAGGGCTCTTCCTGGGTATCCTGTTGTTGCCCTGTGTTGTGGAGATCCTGCAGCTTAGGGTCTTCAGGTCAGGTCCCTTCACGTGCTCCAGCAGGTCATGGATGGGGCGGATGTTGAGGTGGGCTAACTCATAACCCTGGGTCTGAGCCTGGGCAGCTGCAGGATTGGTCAGCCCACCAGTTCTCCCCTGTCCTCACCACCAGGTGGGCTCTCCAGCATTTGCCCAGGCTAATCCACCTCTTGCAGCAATGAGTGAGGGGTGGGGCCGGTTCTCTTTTTTCACACTTTCAGGATTGGCTCGCCCACACCTACACCATTAGGGCCAGCTCTATTGTGTTGGTCCAGGGACCACTCCCACAAGTGTGTTGCTGCTGATGAGGGGTAGGGATAGCTCTCCCACTCTTATTACCCCAGGGCCAGCTCCTCCACCTGTCTCAGGTGTTGATGGGCGGGAGGTGGGGGGCATCTCTCCTCTGCCCATGCTACCACATGTCAGATGAGTAATGGGGACAGCTCTCTGCTCATAACACTGGGGCTGGGTTATCTTCACCTCCAACATCTAGGCAGCTCTGCCGTGCTGCCTAGGTGAGTGACAGGGCCTGTTTCCTGAGTGCTATAGCTGTTAAGGGGGAGGGTCAGCTTTCTCATCCGTTGCTGGTGGTAAGAGGCGAGGGGTAAAGAGGAACATCTCTTACCCCCCACGCCCACCCCCCTATCACCATATGACAGAAGAGTAGTGGAGACAGCTTTCTCATGCTTATAACTTTGAGGCTGGCTCCCCCACTCCTCTGCCAACAAGGTTAGCTCTGTTGTGTTACCCAGGAGAGGTGCAGGGTCTGCTCTCCCAAATGCTGCAGCTGGTGGGGGGCAGGGACAATTCTCCTGCTCTTGTGACCTCAGGACCAGTTTTCACACCTGCCTCAGGCACTGATAGGGGCAACTCTCCCCCACCCATGCCACCACAGGAGAGATGGGTGATAGTGGCAGCTCTCCCTTGCTTATGACTTCAGGGCTGGCTAACCCACGCCTGTGCTCACAGGGCTGGCTCTAATTGTGCTGTCCTGGCAAGGTGCAGGGGCAGCTCTCCTGAGTGTTGCAGCTGGTGGGGGTCAGGAACAGCTTTCCAACTCTTATGACCACAGGGCCAGCTCTCCCATCGGCCCCACGCATTGATGGGTGGCAGGGGGTGGGGTTGGGTGGGGGACAACTCTCCCCAGCCCATGCATGGCAACTCTTCTAAAGGAGAACATTTAAATGGAATAGCTTGCTTAGAGTTCAGAGGTTCAGTCCATTATCATCATGGTGGGACATGACAGCGTGCAGGCAGACATGGTGCTGGAGAGGGAGCTGAGCATACTATGCCTTGCAACAGGAAGTGGTCTGAGACACTGGGTGGTATCTTGAGCATATATGAGACCTCAAAGTCGGCCTCCACAGTGACACACTTCCTCCAAAAAAAACCATACCTACTCTACAAGGCCACACCTCCTCATAGTGCCACTCCCTTTGGGTTTATAGGGGCCAATTACATTCAAACTACCACAGACACTTAAGGTCCTTCCATGGTCAAGTCCACACTCTGAGAATAAACACCACCTCCATTCCCCTTCCCCGTGTAAAGATACTCTACACAGCCATAACCTGACACTCCTCTTATTTGCTAGGAAATTAGGAGTTTGAAGATTAACTTTATTTTAGCACTGACACAGAGACAGATAATGTGTGGGTTTTTTTTAATTTTTCATTTTTAATTCTTAAATCAGTGTGGACAATATCTTGCTGTTCATTGGTACAAAACAGCCCTGTCCTGGGTATACAAGTCTGTAACATCATTCACTACAGTGAATTTACTTCATGAGACAGCATAGCAGAATAGGACTAACTAAGATATATTTTAATAAGAAAATGCTTGAAATAAACAAAATCACAAAGCTGATGAACATTTGACTGTGTGGTCTGCACATCAACATGTGAATGTATGCCAGCTTATACATGTGAATTTCACTAAGTGATCCTAAACATAGCTCCTCTGTGTGTGTGTGTGTGTGTGTGTGTGTGTGTGTGTGTGTGTGTGTGTGTGTGTGTCGGTGTGTGAAAGGTACCTGCTATTCCTAAGGGGCTGCACAGGCAACATCCAAAGTACCCCAGAGGTTGGTTTGGTCAGGGATCAGAGATGAACTTTAAGGCAATCTTGCAAGTGAATGTAAACATCTCTGAAGTGGCCTTTCCAGTTAAGTATGATGGCTGTGAAGACTCTGTACTGTATAGTGCTGTTGGACAACTTTAGTAGCACATTATCACATTGTCATCTTGTAAAAAATAGCTATAAAATCCCATTATAAAAGTGTCTGGGGTGCTTTAGCTCATAGACATACAGCAGGCACTTTCTGTTGACCTATCCATACGTGCTAAATACAGTTTCCTAGGCATGTTCACCTCCAATGGCTGTACCTAGAACGGAGTTCCTAATAAGGTTTGTTCTAAATACTATGTTCACATATTGAGAAATAATGATTTGCTTACAATTTGTCTGATTTTGTTCTGAGTTTAGAATTTTGTTCCCTTAGGTGAAGTTCTACAGATGCATTAAAAATAAATAGTGCTACCTTTTGAGACTTTTCCTGCCTGATGATGTGTGTGGCTCTCAGAGCATGTGGACTACATTGGCTACACTGTAGAATGGACACAGGCCATTGCATGGGTCCCCTTTCAGGGACCAGTTTCATTTAATCTCCTTCTTAGCCTTGTAGCTGGCAGAGACCACCAGGTAATTATCTGGATTCATGTCCTTCAGGGTTGGGGATTTGCTCTGGACAGGGGATGTTTTGCCGTCCACACGGGAGATCTGCAGCATGCGGCAGGGGTCATGCTTGAGCAGATAGCCTGCGAAGGTCTCCCAGCCTCCTCCCACGCGGACCATCACATGCTTGTTGTGCAGCATCTGGAAGGAGAGACCAGTAAAGCAAGTCAGGTTTTTGAGAGAGTGCACCAGACCTCACAGCAACCCCGGGTCTAGCAACAGTAGCGTGGCTTGCCTTACGTCCATGACCCTTGTTTATTCATGTTGCACACAGTGTCTGCTTGGGACAAGGCTTATGAAAGAAACCTTGTGTGCAGAGGAATCTTGGGGAAACATCTGGAACCTAACTTTCATGTGTCACAGAGCATCCATGTATATTTCTCTGACTAGATGGATATGAAAGCTTCTCTGTAATACACAGTGGACCACTACTAACACTCCTCACTGCCTCCACTCACATCAGTGTTCCGTCCTTCCCACTGGGTCATTTTCCTCTCAACCAGAACCTAAGAGACCAGGGAAGTCTCTGGTAGTGAGTTCATGTTAATAAATGATGTTAACAGCCACACACATTTGCTGCAAAATACAAATGAAAACGTACTGAGAAAAAAAATGAGATATGTTCAAGTCATTGAGCCTTTTAAGGAGTGATATATTCATTTTCCATTGACACTTGTCTTCCCAATTACCTCAGAATACACCTATTAAAATCAACTAAGCCAAAACAAAAATAAGTACACACACACACACACACACACACACACACACACATGCACACACACAATACACACACACACACACACACACACACACACACACACACACACACACACACACACACCTTAAAAACCCCAAACAACAACCACAAAATAATAAACACAGCAGAAACTTACCTCCAGGCCAGGGAGCCATCCAGAGCTCCAGCCTCTACCTCTACAGTGCTACACTCACAGGAAAGTGCCATCACATCTGGGGACATGGTGCTGGGGACTGAACCCAGGGCATCTTGCATGCTACCCACCTCAACAAACTCAGCTCCATCCCCAGACCCAAGAGAGTTTTTAACTCTGGGAAAAAGTGAAAAGTCCTTTTCAGCCTGGAGTACTTGCATCACGCAAACATACCCTGGAACTTTTACAACGAATCCACAGAAGCTTGCAAAGTGGAAACGTGGAAGATGGTCTACTGAGCATGAGGAACATGGGGAGGGAAATAAACTGTCCTCTTCTGCAGCCTCTGCAGATGGGGATCTGAGCACAATATTGCTGCCACAGCCAACAGCTGAGGGGTACCAGGAAGTACCTTGCAACTTGTCTAGGTTCACTCTTCTGGCGTGGTCAGGGAAGACTGCCTTCAGCAGAGGGAAGTGTGTTAATGGCACCGCAGCTGAAGCAGTCAATGAGGTTCCCAGGTTCTAAGAGCTTTGCTGATGAATGGTTGTGAGGATTGGGGGTGGGGTGGGCATGTACATATTTTCTCATCTTGAAATCTGACCCTACATTCCTTATTGATCTCCGTCTTTGTTTTTATTGCATTCTGAAGGCAATCACAGGAGAGGTGACTCCAAAGCCTCACTGGCCATCCTCCTGATCCTAAGCCTTTAAGAAACATAGTGAACAGATGCCACCACACAGGCCTCTATTTAAACTTGCTTACCACAAAATTAGAAAAAGATTTCTCCCTTTTAGAAACGGCCTATTAAATATTTTTATGGATCTACATCAGAAATTGAGGTACACTCGACACCACAAGAATTAGGGCATTGTTAACACAGGGGTCAATAGCTTTCAGCTGCTTTTGTTTTCTTGATTTCTCAGAACTATGAAATGCTTCTCTTTTGATTTGAAACAAGGTGTGTGTGTGTGTGTGTGTGTGTGTGTGTGTGTGTGTGTGTGTGTGTGTTTCTCTTCTGCCCCTGACCCTAGCTTTATCACAAGTAACAACAACAAAAGGAATTAATTCATAAGCAAACAGCAGCAGCTCTGAAAGCTTCCTTGTGGAAGTTTTATCAGAGCTCTAAGCACTGGGAGCCCTGGATACAAATTTTACCTAGAACACTCCACACTTTAGAGAATCCTGATTCACACTGAAGTAGGGGAAGGAGGCCTTGAGTGCATTATCTTCTCTCAAGCCTCAGTTTCCCCACACCTGGGAGTTAGAGGGTTTCCCCACAACACTATTAGGTTTCTGTGAAAATCCCCACCATTGTATATCCCAAACTTGTGAGATAAGAGACTCAGGACTGTCTTATGAGAGGTATTCTTACATTTAGACCTTACCAGAATGTGCTAAGAAGTCTGTGGGCAATCCTGGAGTTTCAGGTATGGGATTAAGATATTAAGGTCACAGTGATGGATAACTGATTACAGAAATTTAAATTCCATGCCCTCTTTAAGTATGTGCTCATTTTCAAAAGTGTCTTGTGCCACCACATCTCCATGAACAAAATCCGTTTCAACCGAAAAGCAAATTAATCTACTATAAACCCAATTACTCTGAACGTGTTCCTCCTGGGCTCCGTGGCCTAGTCCTTTCATGGATTCGTCACATGATGGCATTATTAAGAGGTGATCAAATACAGGAGTTGGGCCTTGTAGAAGAGGGGGACCACTAGGGGCCCCTTCCATATTTCCTCTCCACTTTCTGTCCCCCATGAGTCCAGCAGCCATGGCCATACACCCCGCCCTCCACAGTGCTCTGCCTCACAGGGGCCAGTTCAACAGACCAAGGACAGGACGGTAACATCTCAGGCTCTGAGCTAGAACAAGCCCTTCTGTGGCGCTTTTCTTTGCTGTTTGCTTGTGTGTCAGCAGGGCAGTTAGCACACAAGTTCCCTTTGTAACACCTGAGCTCTCAGTGTGGGGATCACATTTACACACTCTTACAGATTGCCAATAGCATACTCACATGATGCTCTCATAGGCTTCACTCACTTTGCTTAAATAATGATGCTGTCAGAAGAATGCCTCCCATTTTAGAGATAGGGAAGCCAAGGCTTTTAGAAAGCAAGCAACCTGTGTAAGGTTATGAACGAGTGGGCAGCGGCGGGAGCAGAGGGCCCTCTCTTAACCACACTCACTGTTTCTGCAGTCCAGACTGGTTTACACGCCTCCTAGTCACTATCCACTGAAAGATATTAGCCCATCACAAGCATCGTCGAGATCAGAAATAGCAATAAGCACTTTGAGCAGATTAACTGAGCCCCCTTACAATAATCTATAGGGACACCCAATAGACCAAGTTTAATTTCAGAAAACTGTGTGGTTATGGCTCTAATTATTCTGAAACAAGCGTCTCAAGTGTAGTGACAGGATGAAACACACTCACAGCCAGGTGTGCACATGTCTCTGCCCTTCCAAAGGGCCCAGTATAGAAACGCGGCTTCTCCCTCTCTGATTACCCAGCCTGGAGAGCAGGCAGGCAGGCAGGAATCCCATTATGTGTAGGTACTAAGAGCTTCAACCAAAAAGGCTCTTCTCTTCTCAGAGACGCTAATTAGTGCTTAGAAATGGAAACAAACCAACTCACTTTTCCTTTCAAAGGGAAAGCCTATATTTATGTAGATCACAGATAATGACATGTTTCACTAAGTGATAAAAACCAAATCACATGAAACATCTAGAGAAGTACCAGGGGTTTACTAATAACACACTTGTGCTTCAAGGTGACCAGGCTGTGTGCAACTAGGCTGTGTCACATAACAAACAAAATGGCCTCAGAAAAAATGAAGAATACCAAGTGGGAAACAGTTTTCAATGAGCAAAATTTAACATTAAAGGCTTCATGCCCATATCTGATACATTTGTTTAGTGATACCTCTGGCAGAGGTCTGCATGAGTGACCGTGTCTGTCCCAGCCCCAAATCCCTATGAAATGCTTCTCCTCTTGGGGTCAACTGCCAAATCTGCTTTGCTCCAGCTCTGCTCCTGTCGGCGCCTAGCAACATCACGAGCAGCAGTGGAACAGGTCGAGTGCTCAGAGCCGCTCCTCAGGACGCTCCTGTCCTAGCTCTCACTAATGCACACGCTGCCCACACGCTGCCCACACGCTGCCCCAGAGGCACGGGAGTCTTTCCAACAGGAGCATCTCTGCGCTCCACCACTTCCCTCGGACCTCCGAGAGTGCTTCTCCACTGTCCGCTGTGCTGCCCGGAGGCTGCCACTCACCCTCCTGCATGCAGTAGGTGTGCTGCCAGGCAGGGATGGAGTGGCAGCAATGGTCCAGGCAGAGTTAGCCTCTGTAGGGTGGCAGAGTCTTGCAGACCTTTAACAACCTCCTGCCCATTCTGATGCTGCCTTCCCCGCCTTGGCCCGCTGCACCTGGCACATGGGTCACCTGAGGCGCCAGCTGCCAGTTCTCTCATCCTTCCTCACTGCTTCAGGTTACCACAAGCACAGTTGGTGCTGAAAGTCTACATTTTTATATTAGTTTGAGATATTCAAAGCCTCACACACCTTTCTACATCCACCTAAGTTCTCCACACTTTCAAAGAGAAAAAGTCCATCCCTTCCTTAGGCCATCCAACACATCTCATCGAAGTACTCAGTGAAGCCCTCGGGACTCTTCACAGCATTAGGAACACAGTGCCTACCAAACGCATTTTAAATGCATTTTGAGTGAACAATGCTTATCCAGTGAATTAACAAGGTTAGCGTTCAATGCTGCTCCACCCCAGTATCACTCTGCCGGTTTGAAATATACCTGGATTAGTCATGGGATGATGGAAAGGGGACGATGGAAAGATCTGTGTCCTTCTTTTACAAGGTCTGGGCGTGAACAGTAATCCATGTCACCCTTTGTGTAGAGAGCACTTCGTTGAGGGAAAGACAAACCCGGAGTCTGGAAGAGAGACATCGAGGGGACTGCACGGGGAGGAAGGAGTGGGATGGCCACTCAAGATGGCTGTGGATGGAAGAAAGAGAAGGCGGAGAGGGTGGGAAGGAAGCATCATGACGGGTGCAGAGAGAATGACGTCACTGTTCTTTGGGATGATCCTTCACGAATCCTCCTTACCTCTAACACATTTTTTTTTAAATGACAAACAGTAGCAATAAATTGTTCAACAAAGTTTCCACACACATGCCCGCCATGACGCTTAAGTGGGCAAGTGCCGTTTAGCTTGGGTACCCAGCACCTCTGTG